CTAGCGTTCAGAGCGCGGTCCACTGCCTGAGCAATCAACATGGACAATCACTCCTCTGAAGGGAAGGGAATCTGTTCGGCCTGGCGAAGTCCAGCCGCTGTAGGGGTGAAAGTGGCCTCTGGCATACACTGGAGTGACTGTTTAAGTGGAATCTGGGACTCCTGCACCCGCCCCCCAGTCTGAGGATTGTCTAGTCAAGCAATTTTTTGTGCCCTAGAGAACTCCTTTTCCAGAGCTTGGTGTCTCCTGGTGGCGTGCTTATCTGCCCCCTTGGATAACTTTTTCGCAGATTTTGGCTTAGTATTTTGCGCAGCCCTTTCGGATTCGTCCGGATGAGATGGCATAGGACTCATGCCAGCCAATGAAGGGGACACGACCTCCTTCTCAAGGGGCTCCATACGTTCCATCCTCTGATAGCGCAGGGGCTCAATTGGGGGCCACCGGTATCTAGAGGGAATTACCACCTTGGGTGCGACCAGACGCAATTCCAGAGGACGCCTGGGACCCAGGTATTGATCCAACCACAGGCAACGACAGACACGCAATGGGAGTGCCTGGTGCCCGTGGCAAACGTGTCACAAGCAAGGACCGGTGCTCTGAGGGGTCACCGTAAGTCCCCTGAATCACTGGAAGTAACTGAACAGTGAAAAACAAATGCACGCCAACAAACTTCCAGTGAGTGCTGAAATTAGTACACAGCACAAGAATTGGCTGCAGGTTGCCCAATAAAGTTGTTAATTATAGAGGCCAGGAGCCACCAAGCTATGAAAATAAGGCCTTTGGAAAAATTGATAGTACTCTTGGTGACAAAATGGCCGCCGCCTATAAAATGGTGGCTTGCCCTGAGGGAATTAGATGGCACACTGAAAATATGAGAATAACTTTTTTTCTTTTTCTGGAGACTATTTTCTCCCCGATTCCTGATCTCCCAGGGGAAGGTGGTCAGAAAACTGACTAAGCCTCCATGAAATTTGGCTTCTAGACTTCAGTCTCTGGGATGATTAATTCTATTCCCTGTGACAAAATGGTGGCCGCGCCAAAAAATAAAAACCCCAACCGTCAAATCCTTACAGTTGGAAGTTGAAGAAACCCCTATGGGAGCGAGGCGGCACCGTGATCAGCCTCTAACCAGCTGACCAGCTGTCCGCTCCGAAGGAAACGGCCGAAAAAGATCAAATTAACGTTCGGCCAGCCTCTGTCCTGTTTCGGAGCGCCGCAGCCGCAAACGTCAAAAACAGCGGTTTCGCTCATTTTGCCTCTTCCAGGGATGCAGCCGCGATCCCCGCTGCTAGAAAAACAACTCGCCGAGGAAGCCTTCAGCCGAACGGCTTCCTCAGTCGTTTTGCCTCTCCGGGGGTGCAGCCGCGATCTCCGCTGCCAGAAAACAACTCGCCGAGGAAGCCTTCAGCCGAACCATTTCCTCGGGCGTTTTCCGCTATAATTGGCCTCCCCGGGGATGCAGCCGCAATCCCCGTCACAAGAGGCCAATCGCCAAAGGAAGGAGAGCAGCCGAACGGCCTTTCTCGCTTCGTCAGACCGCGGAGAGGAGAGAATGGAGGGAACTGAGAGCTTTTGAATCCTCGTCAGTCCCTGCCGCTAACGGAGCTGCTGGAGCAAGCCCTAAATACGCTCCGCTATGTGCGTTTGAAATTTTGATTTTAACAAGTCCAATTAAATGGTCCTACCCTGTGAACTCTTGGAGGGAGGGGAGAAAGAAGGGGCCCCCTTCTGTCTCCCAATAAATCACCCCCCACAGTAGAGCTGACAGAGGGACTGAAATTTATTTTATCTACTTTACCAATTGTAGTACTGAAGATGGAGGAACCACTATAATTTAGATAGCCCCTACGAGCCAGAGTTGTACGTCCTGTCCTTGGGCAAGATCAAGTCAAGACTGGGCATAGGTCCAGGGACAGGGCGTGACAACTTTGGCTGACTTGATCTGATTGGGCAGGAATACAGTCTCAACCCATGGGTGGATCCTCCATCTCCAGTGCTGGAGAAACTTCCTGACAGTTATAACAATTAACAAGTGGAACAACCTGCCTCCAGAAGCAGTGAATGCTCCAACACTGGAAGTTTTTAAGAAGAGACTGGACAGCCATTTGTCTGAAATGGTATAGGGTTTCCTGCCTGAGCAGGGAATTGGACTAGATGACCTCCAAGGTCCCTTCCAACTTTATTATTATTATTATTATTATTATTATTATTATTATTGTTGTTGTTGTTGTTGTTGTTGTTGTTGTTGTTGTTATCCAAAGCACAAGAGGGCAGGACAAGAAACAATGGTTGGAAACTGATCAAAGAGAGAAGCAACCTGGAACTAAAGAGAAAATTCCTAATAGTGAAGACAATTAACATTCAGAAATCGTGGGCACTCCATCACTGGATGTTTTGAAGAAGAGACTGGACAGTCACTTGTCTGAGATGGTATAGCTTCTCCTGCTTGAGCGGAGGGCTGGACTAGAAGACCTCCAAGGTTCCTTCCAGCTCTATTCTATTCTATTCTATTCTATTCTATTCTATTCTATTCTATTCTATTCTTCTTAGAGTTAGTAAAATACATCAAAAACTATGAATGTGGCCCCTAATTGTCATTTCCTGCAAAATGAAAATGCTTTCTGACAGATAACTGGAAGGTTAGCATGGTATTATGATAAGAGTGGAGAACAATAGACAAAACCTACCTGCTTTATAAGCCCCTTTATGTATTAGGCATAGGGACTTATAAAGCTAGTAAACAAACTAAATAGGTGGAAAATACATGTTGTGGTTGAAAATGCCATCTGAAGGCTTGAAACTATTGTTTGGATAAGAGGATTCCACCGAGAAGAGGTCTTAGTCACAGAGTAATATAAATGCTGCATTGGAAGATGCTGCTAACCTATAGTTGGGATAGTAGGAGAAATTCAGAGAAGTACAAGTAGAAGAAGTGGTTAAATGTAAAACTTGCTCCAGTATACAACTTCTGGATCCTAATCTAGGGTATAAGCCATCATTGTTATCATTATCATTATTATGGCCCTTGATTCTAGCACTGATTAGCCAGTACAATGGACCAAAGATGATTGAAATTTCTAGAAATTAGCTGCCAATCAGCTAACAACTACCTTTAGTTTCTGCTTAGTAAAAAGGGCTACTTCTGCTAAGAAAATTCATAGTAATGTAACAGCACACACATGCACACACACCACTCCTCTATTTATGAAATTTATTGGATCCCTATCTATTCTAACAGTTTTGTTGAAAAAGTGAGGTAAGAAGTGGGGTTACAATGAACCTGGACCCCTCTGTGACCATACAAAGGTCATCTATCCTCCACTTTCATGTTTTGGGCATCCATGGCTAAAAGACTGCAAATAGGCTGTCCCCCAATATATAATGCATATGTGTTTCAATCATAGAGATCAAAGTGAAGAACCTATGTAGAAGTCAATTTACTATATTAAAGATATGGAAGGATCTATATAAAAGTCAATTAAATTATTGTATACAGATAATGGAAGGAGCAGTATCTTTATACTGTAGTCACTTGCCAGATTATCATGCAAGGCACACTTGTGACCCACTTTTTGTGATTAACAGGAAAGTCTGTATAAGATATGAGTTATTCCCTAATTTTAGTGCAGTGGTCAGGTTAAGATATTATAGTAATAACAAAATGCTATTTACCAAATGTATAATTTTTAATGAGACTTTTACCTATGTAAGGTAACAAAAACAGATCAATATGCAGAGGAACAATTTATTTCTGACCAAATTCACTACGTGGACATTTTCCATACAGTTTTCCAAATATGTTATGGACAAGCAGAATTTTCCTGCCAATGTTTCACTTACACCTGATGGTCAATCAGTAAAGCCAATTATCTCTTCATTCTATATCTTTATATCTATTTATTTTCAAATCCTTGCATCTCAATCTATATAAATAAAAATGTAAATGTTCGTTTGTTCAAAATCTTAAATCTCCGAAAGTTCTTCACCGATTGCTTTGAAATTTTGACACAACGTTGCATTCGAATACGCGCGTGTTTTTATATACCTACTATTATATAGATGTCACACCTGTGACAGGTAAAACATGCTTTTTTTGAAAAACAGCGCCATCTGTTGGACGTAAGCATTGTGAAATTAAACATATTACAAACGTGCGCTTTCTCTTTTCTTTCTTTTCCATTTAACCAAACTGAGCCACAGCAACGCGTGGCCGGATACAGCTAGTCTTAAATAAAAGAGTCAATGCGAATCAAAGAGATTTGCTTCCATATGCCTTTCCTTAGTACTCAACAAATGGCAGCTGATCTAATCTGGATTGGGAACCTGAGCAATATAAAACCTGTTTAGTATTAGGATTGAAGACTGCAGAAATAGGAATGTTGCAGGTTAGATTTGAAGGTCAAAAATATCCCAGAAGACTGTAGTGACAAACTATTCCTTTCATTTATTTATTAAAAAAAATATGAACTCCCACCCCACAGCAACAATATTTCTTCACTTTTGCCAGGAAACATGCATGGTGCTGGTTATGAAGCTACCCTGAATTTGTTGGTTGGTAATAATATTGCTATGAAAGATTTCCAAATGTGGTAATAATGAAGTAAATTGCTGGAAAATCACCAGAATCTGCAATAAAATATATTTGCACTGATGGATTCTCTCTGTCTGTTTTTCTGTGGGTCTATTCATTCCTTGGCTTTGAAAAAACTTATCAGTTTATAGGAAAAAGAAAAAAGACAACGCTTCTCTAGCAATCTGTTTTGGGCAACAAATAAACCATATTCTATTTTGTGGGTGGCCAGCATATTAACACTGATTTTTTTTTAAAAAAAAAAGTAAAGTAAAAGAGGTCTCCAGATACTATATAATAAGAGATGTTTACTTTAAGCCAGTTCCACCATGGGTCATTTTTCTGATTGTCAAGGCTGCTGTATTCTAACGCTGGTAGATTCCAGCCTATTACTTCTATTTGGCACTTTGAAAAAGAAACAGGAACCAACCTGAATGCTGTGAGGTACTCCACATCTCCCATGGGGGGATCTAGGCCACCTGTCCAAGCAATATTTATATTATAACCTTCACCAGGGCCACTTCCAACCTAAGAGGAGGAGGGGGAAGGAGGGGGAAATGCCAGAGGGAAAATGGAGAGGAAAGGCAGAGAGTGAATCAAAATAAGAAAATGCACAAAAATGTCCTTTTGAAACCAACTTCAAACAGCATGTCAAATCAACCTGGCCCCACTTGACAAGGACTGTTCTGGGTTATACACTTGTTCCACCCTGTCCCCACTCCCAGTGGACCATTTGGTAATCTAATGCAATTTAGAGCACCAATGTAGGATGAGAAAATTAGGGGTAATCATGCAATGCAATTACCTGAAAAGATACAAATAAAAAATGGGGTTGTAAAGAAATAAACCTAACCTCATTTGGGGCTCCGCTGCCAGGGAAGAAGTTGCCTTCATCATAGCGATGCAGAGAGACATACAGGATGCTGGGGTCAGAATAAAAAGCCTGCTGTGTACCGTTGCCATGGTGAACATCCTAAAGGGAAAAGAAAACAGATGACAAATGCAATCATGTCCAAGCCAATGTGGTGAGAATTCTTTGCTTTCTCTTCTTCTCTTTCTCCTGTCTCTCAGTCTTGGTCTTTCTCCCTCCTTCCTTTATTCTTTCCTTCCCTTTTTTTTCTCCCCTTTCCACCCGCCCTTCACCACTCCAAACTTCCTGAACTTTCAGGCAAATTACTCTTTAATACACTCATTTTTTAAACTGGCTTCTAAAAATCAGGAAACCACAGTGAGCATGCCCTTGAGACTCCAGATGAGCAGTCATTGAGAAATCCCAGTCCTTTTGTACAATTAGATATTATACACCGGCCCTTTGTACTCCTTGTCTCAGTGATGGAATCTAGCATCCTGTTTTATAGAGGAATTTTATGACTTATTAACTGCCAACAGTTCATAACCCCTCAGGCTTAATTAACTTGGTCTCATTGGCTTTTAAAAAAAGGATAGGCAAAGCTTGAAAATACAAACTAGTATTTTACAAAGGATCTATGGACTATAAAATTCAAGCAGTCTTTGTTTTTTGCAATTTTTGACAAACACTAAAATGTTCATGCATTCATTGATTTTCCAAATTCTACTACTGAGGTCAAAGGGTTTGCAACCAGCTGAGTAAATTGGTTTCCTTGAAACATTCAGTTCAGTTAGCAGTCCCTCAGCAGCAAGATCCACATCAAAAGGGAACCCAGATGCAGAAAAGACTTTATATTTTATTTCATAAAATCTTGACATGCAGTTGATGTGTAAGAATATGATCTCATTAGTTTCAAGCAAACTGAGCTTCCAAAGGCCACAAATGTCATTCATTTTGTATAATATGAGCTGGCAGGACACTTGATGAATGACTAAATTTGCTAATATTCTAACCAAGAATTATATCTAACCTTCTTTATGCTTTTCTGTACAGCTATTACATGAGTACTAAATATTTTCAGCAATAATTTCTTTAGCATTTTTAAATAATAAATCTTATCATGTTTCCTTAAATTAATTTTCATTGGAAAAGTGTGTGACTCTCTTAAGGGAAGTGTACAAAAGTAAAGCACAGAACATCCACAACTCTTTTTAATATAATAGTTTTGGAAATGATGCCACCAGAAACTATATGCTACCTGATTTGAAGGAAATCTGTGCAACAATATTGTCAACGACATATTAAGACTCTGCCACTTCCAACTTGAAGGACTCAAAGTAAATTTACCATGAAGTAGAGGACATAAAACTACTTGTATCAATATTAATATTGCAATTTGCATAAGCAGTTCTCCTCCTCAAAGCACTGAGACTATCATTATCTCCAAAATGTTTACCATGATTCTTCTAGGGTTCCTCTTCTCATCCCTGCACACTTTGCCTGCATAGCCCATCACCTTTCCACAAGTGCTGGCAGAAGTGTTATTGGTACATGCTCATTCAAAAATAGAGTACATGCTGCTTCAAAACTTTGAGGAATGGTACTTTGTACAACCTTAGTAAATATTTATCACAACACTGAAGCAATAAAAAATAAATAAACAAAAAAAATCTGAGAGCTGCCCGATCCAAAAACGATTGTTTAGTAAGAATGGTGGAGATCAAGTTTGGACCATTCTTTTGGTTAGAGCAGTTAATTGTCATGGATTTGTTTTACAGATTTGTTTTGTCCCTGCCATGTAATTTCTCACTACGCTAGACACAGTCTATTGTTATTCTTATTTTTTGTTGCTTTTACTTATTAATTGTATATCTTGCTTTTCTACAAAATTTACATTCCAGATGACTAAATTATAATGCAATAAAAGTGAAACTAAAATATTAAAATGTCATGCTCTTAAACACTCAATAGATTAAAACACTTCAAAGCAATAAATAAGGGCTCTCAGGAAATGGAAAGTTAGTTATAATTCAGCTAAAATACCCCAAACCTATTATGAATGAATACATTTTTTGCTTGCTGATGGAGTTCTGAATGAAGTTATCAACAAGACTTTCTTTTGCATTCATTCCTTTTAGGCCCATGATAAAGGCACTCAGAGAAGACTTTCTCAGAAGAGTTTTAAAGTCAGTCTGGCTCACATGTAAGTAAATAGAAAGTGGAATGAACACATCTTCTCAATATATGAGTTGCAAACATATCAATGAAATGAGTGGTGCAACATGGAGAATAGCGCTCTTAGGCAACTATGTAATTAAATGAGTACAGAACTGCTTCTGAAATCTGCCAAAATAAAATTAAACTTTTCTATAAAACTCAAATAAACACCTGTAAGGCTTTATGCCATTTTACCAAACTCATATCTTCATTCCTGCCTAAATGCGTATGTAGGTGTCTTTTTGTGTAAATAAATATAAAGAAAGAGATATATAGGGATTTCTCCATCCATCTACTATCCATCCATCCATCCATCCAAAGACCTATATTCATTCACTTATTCCATTTATAGATTAAAAAAATCATGAACAGGGTTGTTTCTGCTAAGAAGCTTCACTGAGGTCTATTGCATTCCTGCAATATTATTGCCCTGTCATCAACTGTATGGTTTGTATGATTTTTTTTCTGGGTTGCTTTAAATGGTAGAGTGATCTTGAGTTAGAATAGTAATTTATGATTAGGACTGGTAATTTAATATACCAGATTGTTGTATACAATAACATTTGAGAAACAGCTAACTTAAAGATTAAGGAAAAGAATCTCAAAAGTTTAAACTATAATAATTATTATTTACAAATAGCATTTTAGAAGGTTTTTATTCCTGCTTCTGCATTTGCACAATATACTCAGTATGATTAAATACTAATAATTAAGGTATTCACTAGGGAATGTACCACAAATGACACAATATTTCTTTATTTTAGTTATGATTCTGGCATTTATTAGGGGGTGGGTGATAACTTACATTTTCAGACATATTTGTATATGTGTGTGTCTCTTTGTGTATACATACAAAATATGGGGAGATGGTTGTTTCTTGTAAGACTAATAGTTGCTGAAACTTAAACTATTAAGTTTTATTTTTATAATAAGAAAAGAAATCAAATTAATTTATTAGATTTTATTCCATTTTTATTACATTACAAGTAACTAAAGGCTGTAAACATATCTAATACTTTTTCCTCTTCCTATTTCCCCACAACTACAACACTGATAGAAAGTGACTGGCCCAAAGACACCCGGCTGGCTTTCATGCCTAAAGCGGGATTACAGTTCAGTCTCCTGCTTTCTAGGCCAGTACCTCAAACATTACACCAAACTGGTTCTCTTAGTCATAGTTATTGATCTCAGGTAACAGCTTTTCAACTAAATAGTGATTGTTTCTAGATTTGAATAATATAAACTAAGCCACAGTTTATAATGGCAGCAAAACCATATCCATGTTTTCGAAGCTGAAAGTCTGGAACCTTAATTAATCAGTTTATAGAACAAGAACATTTTTCTTTTACATATGACTGTTTAGATTTTACAAGGCCACACACCAAGGGGGAAAAAAAAGAATAAGTGACCTAGAATTCTTTAGTCTTTCTCTTGATATAATTAATTAACTTCTATTCTAGTGGGGATATGGGTCTTCCAAATAATGAAATATGAATATGCTATCATATGCTATTTTTCTACTGATAGCCCAAGCCAATATTTAAGTTCAGAAATTAATAGGGCAATAGTGGAGCTACTCAATAATCCTGTGGGATGTTTCAAGAATGTATAATGCTGTTATAGATAAATTTATATTAATGCTAATGTTTGATTGTGTGATTTCTAGGAAAACAACTCATGTGAAAGTAAAAAAGTAAAATACATTTTAATCGTAAAATTTATTAAGATGTTATTAGCTAATTCAGGGAACTTAATCCTCAGAAACTGCAACCATTAATGCTGCATGTGATCAGTAAGACATCATCATTATGGTTTATTGTCTTAAGATTTTCAAATGTAAGGAAGACAAATGGAGTCTGACTATATCTTTGGTGTGATTTTGTGGACGATCTAATCTTTAAAATCTGAGTTCTTTCGACTTCTAATCGAAATGGGCCATCAAAGATTTATGACAAAGGCAGAAATCACTCCAAATAATTAAATAGAGTCCTGACCAAAAGGCCATCTTGCAGAATATTACTTACTTATGTATCACATTTTTGAACCACCCATCTACCTCACAGAGAGATGGATGTAGATACAAATGTACTTTCTGGGTGCTAGTTGAAAGATACTATGGAGCTTTCCTGGGACCTGCTAATAGTAAAAATACTCACAAATGTTACAGTATTTGATTTCATAAGAACATCTTCTGCTTCAGTTAATATACATACTATTCATTCAATTTGTTCTTTTATTAATTTAAAAAATCACTATCACTCATCTAACCAATTTAGGGGGTGACATATAATATAGTCTTTGCAACTTGCACTATTTCAGATAAACTGGACTGCATTTCTATAAGCCATGAACACCATAGTGGACAGATAGTTTGGGGAAAGTGGTTTAGCTTATGAGTTACAAATTTCTATTGTTTGACATAGTGAATGAATTTTTGGAATGCTTGTTCAGTTTCATCCAAAGAAAGAATTGTGATTTCCTGCACTTTGTATTATTTTGGTGACTCAGAAACAACCAAATTTTTATTGTATTATATCAAATCATTGGATCCTGATTTATAGTTATGTTCAGAATACTTCATTTATGCTCTATTATAAATTCCACCCTATTTGCATCTATATTTCCATTAAATGCAGAAGAATAATGACATATCTGAGGTATAGGCAATGTTACTGAAAATTATACTGTTTTCAGGAAAATTGTCAACAATTAATCTAATAAGGGTTTGTTGGAATTTGCTATACTCTACTGTTACAAGGTATTATCAAGAGGATATGAAACTAATTCTAAAAAATAGTTTGTTCCTCTACTAAGTTTCCTATTGTGATCTATTATTATCATATGACTTTGTATTGGCTTCCAGTCTTCATATTTTTATATGGAAGTATTTAATGCAGAGACTCTCT